TCCCACCGCGCCCGCCCCCCAGGCCCGGGCGAGTGTCAGCGACTGCTCTGAGCACGGCCTGTCTTCAGCGTGTGCTGCTTATTTTTAACTTTTTAAAATAAGACCAAATTTTGTCTCTTAACTTGACCTTTGCATGCACCCCCCCCCCCAAATCCCTCCCCTGGTGTATTCCCTCGAGACCACCAGCTCCCTCCTCAGGGCTGGCCTTCCCGAGGATGAAGGATGGAGGCCGGGCCCCTGTGGCAGGCCACCAAGGGCCCCTCGTGTTCCTCATGTCAACGGTGTGGGTGGCACGTGACCTGCAGCAGGAGGTCACCCATCACCCTGGCATGTCCCTCATCCTCTTCACCTTCACATTCTTGTCTCTGGGCACAATTTTTTTCTTAAATCCGTTCTTAAGACACCGAATTGTCATTCTCCGCCGTGTAAACGTTTTTTACAGTCGGCGTTTTCCATTTAATTTTCAGTCATCGGCACTTTGCTTCATAGTCTTCGTCGAAATGTAGGAAAATTATGGCATGTCATTCTCTCCTGCTGGACTGTGGGCCTCTTAAGGTCAAGGAGATCATCGAATTGATCTTTGTACCTCTAGTGCCCGAGGTGCTGTAGATGCCAGGTAGATACTTGTTAGATGAGAGAATGGAAGGGCGGATGAAGGTGTGGGTGAGCGGTCAGTGGTTGGCGGAGGGATGAGGACATAGAAGGGTGCAAGGAAAAGTAAATGGATCGGTGCATGGAGGAATGCGTTCCTAGGGTTGAGCTTGGATGAAAGGCCAGGGGGGAAAAAAAAAAAAGAAAGGCCAGGAATTCCTGTATGAATCCTGAAGAATTTCAGAGAGCTTTCAGCATTTTATAATGTCCAACAGTGTATTCGCATTTTGTGTATCTATTGCTAATTTGTCTCCATTGAAAGGTTTTCTGTCCTTTTAACTTTCATTGCTTTGATTACTAATGACGGTTGAACATTGTCACGTATGTTTGTTAACAGATCGTTTTTCATCTCCTCTGAACTGTTTTTCCACGTCCGTTGGGTCATGGCTTTCTGATGAGACTGGTCAAGGATGGCATGGGCGTCCATGGGACATAGTGAGTCCTCCATCATTGGAGGCATTCAAGAGACTGGCGAGGCAGACACCCGATGAGCGTGGTTCTCAGGAGATTCACATAGTGGGGTTGGGGTTGGCCTAGGTGGCTTTCAGGTCTCTGACTTGTGTGAGACAGGGACCTCCTCTTCCATTCGGCAGCCCGGTGACATCTAAGGTGCATGCTCTGGGCGGGCTCACGCATTGATTTACAAACTCCCTCTCTGTAACTCTTGTGGGACAGGAATATCTCTTTGACCCTCCAGGGTCCAGATGACCACGCCCAGCAGCCATGCCTAGTATAGTTAGCTTGGGGACTTCCTGCCAGCTCCCTCACCCACCCCTGTCTCACCTGGAGGAAGCCAGGCCCCTGGGTCACCATTTTCCACCTCCCAGGGTCATTGGGAGGTGGTGGCAGGTCCTGTGATGGGTGACCAAATGCTAGGCCTTTGGGATTCCACCGATTAACGGGGACATGTTGGGTGGGTCGGAACTGATGGAACAATTGATTCTGTGATCCAGGGAGCAGAATGGACTCCACGCGTACGTGGGGCTTCCCCTCATGCTCCACCCCCAAAAGTAGCCAGGGCTCAAAGGCCATAGCCGTCAGGGGAGCGCCCCTTACCAGAGAAGGGCTCGCCCTGCTTTCGAAGGCACCCTCGGCTCCCAGCGGAGGGCCTCTTCTTCCCGCTGGGCCCTCTGCTGTGGCGCTGAGCGCCGTCTGCCTGCATCGGGATTTCTCACCCACCAGTTTGTCCCAGAATCAAGGTGGGGGAGGCCGGCGATGACTTCCAGCCAAATCTGAGCCGTCCGCCCCTCCATCTGTGCGTTCGGCTTGCACTTCTTGGCCTGGTGCTTCGGCCCCTCCCTTTCCCGACAGCCGGCTGTGGTCACGAAGCCAACGTCCTTTTAGTAGCTGCCTCCTCCAGGGTCACTGCCGTGAGCGTGTCCCTGTCCCTCACGTTCCTCCCCTGTGGGGTTCCCCCATGTGCACACACCACGGAGCGTCCAGGGCGGGGGTCCAAGCACGGCCTCCACCCGTGAGTGGAGGTGTCCTCCCCAGGCCACCTTGCCTGGTGGCGCACGGTCCCGGCCACGAGCTCGGCCTCCACCCTCCAGCTTCCTCCACCAGACAGCAGTGACGTTAACTCGCCCCTCCACGCCTTCGTTCCTCCGCTCACAGTCAACACACATTTTTAAAAAGCAGGTGCTAGAGCCTGCTCACAAAGACTTGTGAACTTGTGACATCTGCCTTTGAAAGGACAGTCGAGGGGCCGTGCGGGTCCGTCGCCAGGTGAGACCTCGGTGCAGCCGGCACGCACGTCTAAGTTCTGTTGAAAGTTGGATTGCCGTCTCCAACTTTGTTCCTTACAAAACGAGCCTGATTAGTAATCAGTAAACTGTGTCCCCTGGGTGCTCGGAAATCACAGCCCATTCCTCAAGAGGCCTGAGCGAGAGCCGGGGGTCTGTGACGAGCGGCTAATGCCTCCGCGAACAGGCTTTCAAGTCATCAGAACACCGCGGTCTGGCCGGGAGGGTGTCATAGGGCCATTCCTGTCCCATTCGAGATTAGCTAATGCTCTGCTCTATTTAGAGAAAATTGGGGGAGATGATTGTCAGTGTGGATGGCAAGGATCATGCCCTGTGGGGGGTCCGTCCGGAACAGCTCATCAGCAGAACAGGGCACCTGAGGCACAGGGCACTTTGTAAACCCTGAAGGCAGCTCCCAGCAGCTGTGCGGCTTCGAGCCTCTGCGGGAACCCCGTTAGCCCACCGCTGCCTTCACGGGACAAGGCGCGGGTCTCGGCGCCTTTGCCAAGAATTTGGCATTTTATTTGTCGCATTGGAGAGTGGGCAGAGCCGAGACCGTGGAGCCAGACACACGTGTGGTTTAAACGTACGGTGGCAGCTTGGGTCTGTCTTGTGGGGGGATTATGGCACCCACCCCGCAGGGCTGTGTGAGGATCCAGGGAGACAGGGGCTGTGATTGGCAGGGGGCGGTGCGTGTGCCCCGGGGGGAGTGCTGGGGGCCGGGATAAATGGCCAGGGCAGGTTAGTGGGAAGTGCTTTTGCCAAACATGCAGGGGGTATTGTGGGATAGAGTGCCTCATTCATGTGACAGTCTAAGATTAGATAGTAATTTTTGCAGGCACTTTTGTACTGTCGGATGGAGGCCTCTTTGGGCAGTGCCCCGAACCCCCCTGGGGTATGCATTTAGGCTCATCCTCTGTAAAAGGATGAGCCCGAAAAAAAAGAAGTGCGAGCCCACGGGGTCTTGTCCACCACTGTGTCTGGCCTTTGGGCAGCACTTACGCCCGCAGAGTCCTCCCCCCAAAATATTAAGCACCAGCCCAATGCCCCTCTCCCAAATGGCAACATTTGGGCTCTGACGCCAGCAGTCCGGGTGCCTAACACAGTACCAGGCCAGGGGTAGGGGTCGCCTTCCGTTTTTGTTGGATGGATGGGTGGATGAGTGGCCAAGTAACAAAACGGTAACCAGATGCAAAGCGGTGGATGTTTATAACCTGCACTCAGTTTGCATTTTGCTCCTACCCGACCGGCTGAGAATCGCCGTCTTGTACCTTAACGGACTTGTGTGTGACGTGTGTTGGTTGAAAACCGGGAGTCCTGTCTCCGGTGTCCCGCGATGGAGCAGTAGCTGATTTGTGTTTTGTGTTGGAAATTAGACTCCTCCGGACCCAGGACCACCTAGATCACTGTGCGGCGTGTCGGGCGAGTCACTTGTTCTCCTTGACCCTCAGTCTCCTTTTCTCTGAGCAGTGGGTCACCTGAAAGCTACCTCACAGGGTCGCTGTGAGAGCAAGGGCCGGGTCAGCTGGAACAGGGGTGGGGCTCCGGAGGTCTCGCCCATTTAATTTCTGGCCCTAGTGTCACCATTTACCAGCTTAGTGGCCTTGAGAAAGTTATTTGAACCACCCCAAGCCTCCTGAAGATTGGGTACTTTGTGGCAGTGTCTGCCGGGGGATCCTGGTAGACACAGAGTGCTGGCTGTGCCTCGCCGGACCCCAGGTGCTGGCTCCCAAGAATCAGGGTCTGGGATTGAGGCTGCCCCAGCGCTTGCGTGTGTGTGTGGGTCGGGGGTGCCTAGGCAAGCTTGCTCACCTGTAACCTGCAAATAATCACACACACTACCTGGCACAGTTATTGTGGGCTTCAGAGAGCTCGTTTATGTGAAAATAAATGCTTTGTCACCTGGCACACAGGTACCCTTGTCCCTTGCTCTCCTGGGGGTCTCTGGGGCTAGCCACATGCCCTGCAGTCTGTGGGAGCTGGTCACAGAGCCCGGTGCTCCCTGGGACTCTGTGGCCTAGGGCACCCTTGGGCGGAGTGGAGAGTGTGGGGGAAACGCCTGGCAGGTTTTGGGGAGGCAGTGGGGGAGAGAAAGGTCTGCTTCTAAATACGGAGAGGAAACAAGTTTGGAGGGAAGGGATAGAGGCCAAAATGGGAGGATCAGGGAGAATTTCTAGAAACCCCCAGGGGAAGATGAGGCTGATCGTTTAGAAAATCCCAAGTTTAGTTGGTAATGGGTTGCACAGGAGGCCCGGGGCGGGTTTTAGAAGGGCCAAGAGTTCTGGTTCTGGGTTAGTGAGGTGAGAGGCCTCAGAGGTGGCTTCTGGACTGGAAGTCTGTGTAGGTGGAGGACAAGGTGACGTGGAGGACACCAGAGGTTGAGAGATACTAGGTGGACAGGCAGGAGCTGCTGGCTGGGTGCCCCCCCACCCCCCAAGGTCGCTGGGAGCCAGGGGCTCTTCCCGTGTGGGCCGGGCTCCCAGGTGCCTCTCCCAGGCAGAGCAGGTTCCCTCTCCTGTCCTCGCTGCCGGCCGCCTGTCTGCACAGCACTTGTCAGCCAGTGAGACCGGAGCAGGTGGCCTTCATCTGCACCTGTGTCTCTCTCAGCCTCCACAGCCACGGGGACGCCCTGCGCACATTCCCACGGGACAGGCTGGACCCAAAGACCCTGGACCGCCCTGGGAGGAGGGGCATGCCCTCCTCGGCCTCCCCTTCGGTAGCCACCCACCCTCTGACCGATGGACGTCACTGATCCGACGGCCCGACGCGTGGGCTCGACCCCGGCCCACCCTCCTGAGCCCTGAGACTTGGGGGGGCGGCCGAGCCGGGGACGTCTGCATCGGGGGTGGGCTCTGACACCTACCTCACAGGGTTGTTGTGAGGAGCCTGTGATGTGGTTTGAAGATGCCCGACGGGGGCTCGGCACACCCTGTCGTGCTCTCAATAAATGTGTTTTTTTTTTTGCCTTAACAAACATGGTGATGGGTGTGATGTGAGGGCCGAGCGTCCGGTCCTGTCTCACTGGGGTTCCCCTTGCTTTGGGCGGTGTGATGGGCAGCGCAGGGCGGGGGAGCCAGCTCCAGGCACGGAGCCCCCTGTACCCTGCCCATCAGCACCCAGGGGTGAGGGGAGGCCCTTGGCCAGAGCCCGCCCGGTAGGGGCCAGCGACTGATGGATGAATTAACCCGACTGGGCCCCCTCCTTCTGGTGGTCATGGGGTGCCGGCTTTCTTTCCAGAAAGGAAAGCACACGAGCGGGGCAGGAGGCCTTGGCTAGTACTGTCCTGTCACCAGGGCCCCGAGGGCTGCCCTCAGGGCTGGGGCTCCTCCCGCCACCCCCCACACCTCCCCAGGGGCACGGCAGGGGCACGGCTGAGCAGTTGTCATTCTTAAACTGACGGTGAGTAGATGGCCAAGCAGGTCCAGCCTGGCCGTGACCCTGGGCCGTCAGCCATCGACAAGATGGCCACTGAGCATGGCCACCGAGCAACACCCCCTTCCCCCGCCCAGCCCAGGAATGTCCGGCCGTCGGCCAGCAGCGTGTGGCTGGGGCTGGGTGAGGGCAGAGGGAGCAAGGGCAAGAGGGATCTGGAGCCAAGTCCACGTGGAGTCCCAGGGCTGCACGCCTGGCTCTGCTGCGGCAGATGAGCTGGACTCGCAACCCACGGGAAGGGAGAGGCTGCTGCCACCACTCCTGTCACCATCGAGCCAGAGCCGCCACCCCTGTCACCATCAAGCCAAGGCCACCACCCCTGTCGCCATCCAGCCAAAGCAGCCACCACCACTGTCACCATCAAGCCAAAGCCACCACCACCCCTGTCACCGTGAAGCCAAAGCCGCCACCACCCCTGTCCCCCTCAAGCCAACGCCCCCACC